TAGTTTAAGGGAAAAAAAAATATTAGGTTGACAAAAATTGGCATTTATTTGAGGTTTTTTGTTTATTACGTATGTATTTAAATACAAACAATGAATAGGTCATCTATATGATAGAACATAAACCTTCTAAAAATATTTTCCTTTTCTGCATCAAAAAGCATGGAAATCATACCGATACTTCCTTGTTTCCTGATCGAAAAATAACAATAAAATCACCATCAATAAACAAGAAGAAAATATATTTGCATCTGAGACTCTCTCTCATTATATATAATAGGAATGCAAAAGGTAATGAAGAAAATTGTAAATCTAGCCGAAAGTAAAATAGATTAATGTGAACAAAAGAATAGGAAAAGAAAAAAAATACCTTTCATCAAAAACCTGTTCTTATCTTATCAATGAAACCAAACGGGAAGAATGCACTCACTATAAAGTTACTCTACATTTTTAGACGGCCTTCGAAGCTATATATGTATGTAGCATAATGTTACACATACTTAAAAATCTAACTTAAAAACAATGACTTTATGATATAGCTACTGACATGTATATGCCATGTCATCTAGTTTTTCCCGTTGGACAGATGCAAGGAATAGAGCTGCATATGTTATAGAGTAATACTACATGGACTTAAAAAGTAGACTTAAAAACAAGACTTGATAATCTCAACCATTGATTTCACTGTGTATCCCTGCATTTATTGGGACTCACTACCTGTTCAATGGTTGAGATTATCAAGTCTAATTCTTAAGTCTATTTTTTAAATCTATGTAGCATTAGTCTATGTTATATTTGGTGATGTCATTACTTTTGATGAAATGGCATATACATATCAGCAGTCATGTTAGCAAATCATTGTTTTCAAGTCAAATTTTTAGGTACATCTAACATTACTCATATAAGTATGCAAGCCTCACACGCTGTTGTTTCATCAATGTATTCAAATATCATTTTTCGCCCCACGGGATGCAACAACAGCCCTGGAGAAAGAAGAGTGAGGTCAATTAAGTTGGCAAATTTAATGGAGTAAATGAAGCATAAACAAGGGCGGAGTCAGGATTTTTGTTTATCCCGACCTAAGCTAAGCATTCATACAACTAACAAAATACAAATGTAAACTCATAAACACTTACTAATGAAATTGGACTCTTTGATCCTTCCTAGAACAAAAGGCATCTATTATTGAATCTGTATTGATTGCTTCCGTTATTTCGCTTTCAATGTAGACAACTAACGAATCAGTCAAAATACTCATCTTCCATTTTGTTACGAAGAGTACTTTTGACCTGTTTCATGGCTGAAAATGCTCTTTCTAAAGTTGTCGTAGAAACGAGAAGAGTTAAAATAAGACGAATCAACCTATCAATCAAATTGTAGGACTCTACCTTATTTGTCTCTACTAAACCATGACGTAATTCTGAAATTGTAAACATACTTTGAAACCTCTCATGGCGAAACACATCAAATTGATAATGATCCAGTTGACATTTCAAATGATGCATGTCTTGTCCATCAAAATCAGCTACATAAAACTTCTCAGCAAGTAAACAAATACGATCAAGATTGAAAGATTTAAAGTTGTCTCGAGGATCTAAAGCAGAGCTGAGCATAAGCAATTCCATTGTCTCTTCATTGAATCTACTATGTAACTCTTCTAACTGATGATCAATCGTAGCATTAAATATGTCCATGTGATAGTGATGATCAACTGTAATGTTATTATTCTGTTGACATAAACGTCTTGCCCCTTTGTACTGAGTGCTCATATCAGGTATATCGACATCAAATTTCATGCAAACTTATTTCACGTGGTCAAGGAGATAATCAAAACCTTCTGCTCGCAAGGTTTGAAGCAATGATTTTGTCGATGAGATTGAATTCATTACATTCAAAATATCTAATGATTTATGTTGCAATGCCTGACAAAGCATATCTGTAATCCCCATAATCTTGTGCATAAGATGCAATATAAATATGAAATCGAAGGACTTCATTGCCATTAAAGAACCACCAATTTTTCCACGAATTGTATTTGAAGATCCTTCGTTAACCATACATTCAAACACACTAATGATAGCATCATACATATCTGTCAGACTGCAAATGGATTCAAAATGTGAGCTCCAATGAGTAGTACCAGCTCGATGCAAAGTACCCATCTGATTAGCCCTTTTACCAGTCTCTCGTTCACCACTAACTCTCCACCTTTCAATCTCAATAGCTTGGACAGATCACAGTTCTGTATGACGCTTAGGAGAAGCACTAATAAGATTGACAATGCTTGTCAATTTAGAAATTAATTGTCATATTGAAATCTCATCTTCAGCAGTTGCAACTTATGCAAGTTGTAAACGAGGAGCAAAGCAATGAACATAATATGCATACTCACAATCATTGTGGAACAAAGCTTGCAATCCATTAAAGACACCACGCATGTTGGTAGCACCATCATATCCCTGACCTCGTAAATCTCGAATGTGCAAATTATGTCGAGTAAGAACTTTTGATATTTTCTTCTTAAGAGTTAAAGAAGTGGTATCTTTAACATGCACAATCTTAAAAAATCTCTCCTGCAAAAAACCCTGAACATCAACAAATCTCATAACGATTGCTATCTGTTATTTATTTGATGCATCCTTTGCTTCATCAACCAAAATACAAAACTTGGCATTTTCAAGTTCTTCACGGATTTTTTTCTCTTATTTTAGTAGTTAGAATATGCAAAATATCTTTTTGGATCATAGGAGACATATACTTTGCATTTCCCGAGCTTTCTCTAAGACAACATCATTTATCTCAACATTCAACTTTGCCATCAAACTAATCATCTTAATTAGATTATCACGGTTCTTTCACATTAAAGATTCATCACGACCTCTCAAGGCACATCCCCGTAAAGTAAGTCATTGAACATTATTAATGGTAGTCTTAAGACGTAATCAATTTCTCTTTATTTCTTTTAAACTTTGAACATTCATAACTTTATCAATGTGCACTGATATATTCTCCAACGCCTCAACATTTCTCACAACATTATCGTGTATGGAAGCAAGACCTCTAATATGTGACAAAAAAATACATTTGGCCTCATTATTCACTATCTTCCAGCTACTAAAATCATCAACGGTAAATGCAGGATGTAGAGGTTCACAACCTTCAAAAATAAATCACGGAAAGCAAAATGTCGCATCTTTTGAAATAGAATATTCTACCCATGGAAATTTTTTGTACCAACTTTCCTGAAATCTTCGATTTTGAACTCCAGTTTTAGTCCTCGGATACTCAGCCAAGATAGGTTGATTTGGTCCCCACTTTATATAAACACGTTTAAATTCATCTTGATTATAAGCAGGATGTTTCCATATCGGAATACGCAATGCGGGATCTTGTTCAAGTCCATTCTCATCAAAAGAAATCCTTGGAACTTTTGTTTGAGGTTTTGGACCTTGAGGTTCAACAGCCGCAAGAATTATAGGAACATTAACACTTGTTGATGTTTCTACTAGACTTAGAGGCTCAAGAGTAAAATTTGATGTTTCTTCTCCACTTTTCTTTTTAAAGAATGAAAAAATTATTTTTGCTCTTTTTCGTTCTTGATTTTCCATCCTAATAAAGTAGAGAAGGGTTGAAAATTAGAGAAACAAAGCAGAGAAACAAATCAACAAGATTGAAGGATCTAACACTACCCAAAAATCACCTAGAAACATATCATACCCAAATTGCACATTCATCTCCTTTTAAATTTACTATTTTTATAATTGCACAATTATGAGTCTTAAGTTTCCTCTTTGGTCGGCCTAATGCAAATCCGAATTACATTTAAGTGTCGGCCTAATGCAAGCACCAGTAGTCTATCACATCCCAAGTTCACCAAATTAAGAAATTAATTAAGCTATGAACAAATTTAGAAAGAGAACTCTTCCCATAAATCAAAAATATATAATAAAAAACAAAAAAAAACTTGTGAATTCTGCATAGTAATACCAATAGTATAAACCCAATTGATATCCAACCAATAATTCAAGAAGCCTGCAAATCTTAAAAAATTAAACTACAAAATCCTAAAAGTAAAGCAAATCTTAAAAAATTAAACTACATAAAAGGAAAACACATAATTAATTTGCACTTCTCCAGCAAAAGGCGTCCTACATGGCACCAAAGGTTTTGAAGCTGAATCAGAAAATCTATCCCCAAATTAGAAAACTCCAATTGGAGCACAGAGTCTCACACATACATAAAACACCACAAAAGTAAAGAAACACCATAACTATAATATATATCACTCATCAGAACAAATTGTGCCACAGTGCACTCTGCACATATTCTCTCTCTTTGTATCTATACCTGTATGTATAGGTAGTGTAATATTGACTGAATGTAATCCGATAATACACAAAAAAATGATACAAAAACAATTTAACTTACCTTGCCTGAGTGAAAGTAGCACTGTAAACCAGAGTGAGAGAAAGAGAGTGTGTCTGTGTGTGAGCCTCTGTGCGTTGAGTGTGAGTGAGTGAGAGTTTGCAAAATCAAACCACCATCGCCCAAATCAAACCACCCAAAAACCAGGGTGTTTGCGCAGAGGGACTCACCTCCTGCCCGGAGATTAGGGGAAGTGACTCGCCGCATGTGTTGCCATGGAGCCGTTGCATGTCCGGAGATTTGGGGAAGTGACTCGCTTGAGAGAGAAGAGACAGGACATGGTTTTGGGGGAAATGACTGGGAGAGACCGACTGATTTTGGGGAAGCTTTGCAGGTGGGTTGGATTGGGTTGGATGGGATATTTTTTTTTTTTTTTTGGGGGGGGGGGGGGGGGGGGAGGGGGGGCTGGTACTTAGTGGTAAGTTTTATTTTATTTTTTACTCTGGACTTCAGTCCACCTTATCCCACTAATAAATACATCCTTAAGCATAAATACAGGGTATTGGAAGATGTTGAAGGGATGCGCATACCTTTGAATTGTTAGTTTCATATCGCTTCTAACTGTTGCAATAAGAAGTCTAAGTTGGCATGACAAGTACCTTCGTTCCTGCACCAACCTGTCTCTCTTCTCGCACTCTATTAAAAATGTGAGTGAACCCTTCAACTGACGCAGGGTCACTTTCATTCCATTCACCGAATTTTGGAATAGCAGGGCTGCGATCAGGCTGTCATATTTGAATTCATATCATATTCCTCAAAAATGAAGCATAGCAGATTTGTAAAGTGGAGGAGTCACTATAAGGTAGTGTGCAGGAAGTTTCTGACATCTTGGAGTGTCCAACAAGCTCTTTACAGAAGTTTCCTTTCCTCAACTTCTATCCATGGGTGTCCAACAACTAGCTTTAGAACTTTCTTCATCATCTACTTAAATTGTCTAGCCAAGTTTATCGATCATATGAAAACTTAAGGATAAAAAATGGGAAAAAAAAAAAAGAAACTAATTGGCTAGGTTTCCCAAAGATTTCTTTTTTGCAATTAAGAGATATAAATACTCAATGGAGAAATGAGAAAAAAATAAACCAATAAATGGGGTTTAAAGAAAAGAAAAAGAAAAACTTTTACGGGCATAGTTTAGAGAACTTGTTTCAGCAGCTGAAAGTTTCTTTGTATTGCCTATTGTTTTTCCTCAATACTTCGTTTAATTGCAAAGACACGTGAGGAGGTTGTGTGGCCACCATGATATTCCAAGTTTTCATTTCTTTTCTTAAAATATCTCTACCCTCAATCTTGGCATTGCTTCAACTTTAGCAATATTACAGGTGTTCTTACTGTTAAGAAATATAGGGTTATTTTGTTTATTAAGGGTAGAATAGTCATTTACTTTCACTGTCTTGTTTAGCTTATATATAGTCTCTTTGTATTTAGGTTAAATTAATTCCTAGTATTCAATTGAATTATGCAGTATCAATAAAACTCTAGCCTCCTCTTTTCTTATCTCTTGTATTTCTTTAAATTGTTCAACATGGTATCAGAGCAAAGTTTCATGGGACAAGGCTTAATCTCAAACACAGTTTACGCGGATCCAACTGGTTTATGCGGATACCTTTTTGAGAAGGTATTTGTTCCGTTTTTACAATCTGGTATTTGTTCCATTTTTGTAANAGAGCAAAGTTTCATGGGACAAGGCTTAATCTCAAACACAGTTTACGCGGATCCAACTGGTTTATGCGGATACCTTTTTGAGAAGGTATTTGTTCCGTTTTTACAATCTGGTATTTGTTCCATTTTTGTAATCTGATTTTCTTTGTTTGTTGATTATGGCTACTGCAATAGACGATTCGCTTCAGTCTGTGAGTGTGAGGTTGGATGGAAAGAATTATTTCGTATTGGACTTATGTTATGAGAAATTTTCTTAAGGGTAAAAATCTATGGGGATATGTTAGTGGAACTTTTGTGAAACCTAAGAATATTGATATNTAAGAATACTGATGTAGGTTATGCTGATTTGATAGATGTCTGGGAAGCAAACAATGCAAAAATTATTACTTGGATCAACAATTCTGTTGAGCATTCTATAGGTACGCAGTTGGCAAAGTATGAGACAACAAAGGAGGTTTGAGATCATCTGCAAAGGTTATTCACTCAATCAAATTTTTCAAAGCAGTATCAATTGGAGCATGACATACGAGCTCTTCAATAAAAGAATATGAGTATTCAGAATTTTTATTCTGCTATGACAGATCTTTGGGATCAATTGGCTTTTACAGAATCGACTGAATTAAAGGCATGTGGTGTCTATATTGCTCGTAGAGAGCAGCAACGATTGGTACAATTTTTAATGGCACTTCGTAGTGATTTTAAAGGACTTAGAGGTTCAATTTTGCATCGTTCTCCAATTCCTTCTGTTGAATCAGTTGTCAGTGAGTTATTGACTGAAGAGATACGTCTTAAGTCTTATTCTGACAAGGAAATTCTTTCTACTTCTGATCCTTCTGTGCTAGCAGTACCTTCTAAACCATTCTCTTATAATCAGAATAAGCCTTACACAAGGCCTGCCTTCGACGAGTGTAATTTCTGTAAGCAGAAAGGTCATTGGAAGGCTTAATGTCCTAACTTAAGACAGCAGAATCAATCGCAACAGCAATCTCAAGCTTGGAAGTCTAGCAACTAGTCACAATCTAATGCTCCTACNATTTCTTGGGTATTGAGGTAGCCTACTCACCTAGAGATTATCTTCTTTCTCAGTCGAAATATGTTGCAGATATTTTTAAGCGAGCTAGACTTACTGATAATAAGACTGTAGATACTCCCATTGAGGTTAACGCAAAGAATTCTTCTTCTGATGGTTTACCTTTGTCAAATCCTACTTTATACCGTACTATTGTTGGAAGCTTGGTATATCTCACTATTACTCGTCCAGATTTTGCATATGTTGTTCATAATGTTAGTCAGTTTGTTGTTTCTCCTACTACAGTTCATTGGGCAGCTGTTTTTCGTATTTTGAGGTATCTGCGGGGTACAGTCTTTTAGAGTTTTTTACTTCCATCCACCTCTTCCTTGGAGCTGTGTGCATACTCTGATGTTGATCATGACAGTGATCCCACAGATCGCAAATATGTTACTGGATTCTGTATCTTTTTGGGTGATTCTCTTATTTCTTTGAAGAACAAGAAACAATCTATTGTTTCTCAATCTTCAACCAAAGCAGAATATCGTGCTATGGCATCTACTACCAAAGAGATTGTTTGGTTACGTTGGTTACTTGTAGATATGGGAGTTTCTCTTTCTCATCCCACTCCTATTTATTGTGATAATCGGAGTTCTATTCAGATTGCCCACAACTCGGTTTTTCATAAACGAACTAAGCACATTGAGATCGATTGTCATCTTACTCTTCATCATCTCAAGCATGACACCATTACTTTGCCCTTTGTTTCTTCGTCTTTGCATATTGCAAATTTTTTTACCAAGTCGCATTCTATTTCTCGTTTTCGTTTTCTAGTTGGCAAACTCTCGATGCTTATCGCTGCTGCATCGTGAGTTTGAGGGGAGATGTTAAGAAATATAGGGTTATTTTGTTTATTAAGGGTAGAATAGTCCTTTACTTTCCCTGATTTGTTTATCTTATATATAATCTCTTTGTATTTAGGTTAAATTAATTCCTAATATTTAATTGAATTATGCAGTATCAATAAAACTCTAGCCTCCTCTTTTCTTATCTCTTGTATTTCTTTAGATTGTTCAACACTTACCACCATTTCTCGAACTAGCATATAAGGTGTAAGTGTGTGTAAGCATTCGTGCTAAGTTCAGAACATAGGTAAAGTGATATAGGAGAAAAAAACTCACAGTTTCATCACCGCAAGTAACGGATCTCAATCGGGATCTTCCAGGAGTAGAGGGAGCCAGGCCATGACTACAATCGGATGAATCCTTTCTCTCCCATGAGGGAGAAGGGAGAAGAAACTCCACTGCCTTTACCTCCAACCCTTCCCTAGTGATGTGAGTGTTGTGGTGAGTGTTCAATGCTACGATCAGAACTCCCACTTTGCCGCGTGACTCTCCTAGGGACCCAATTAATAAAACGATCATACTTTCAGAATAAAACTATTATTAACCTAATGCTAAATTAGGATCAATAATGACAAACTAGGATCATGACAAAGATCTTGATTTCTTAATTGGTTAATAACACTTTTATCCCTTAAAAATTGACATTTTGTTAGATTAATATCTAAAATATCAATGTTTTCAATTTTATCTATAAAGTATTCAATTAACATGCAATTCAAAAAATTGGNAAGAGATTGTTTGGTTACGTTGGTTACTTGCAGATATGGAAGTTTCTCTTTCTCATCTCACTCCTATGTATTGTGATAATCGGAGTTCTATTCAGATTGCTCACAACTCGGTTTTTCATAAACGAACTAAGCACATTGAGATCAATTATCACCTTACTCGTCATCATCTCAAGCATGACACCATTACTTTGTCCTTTGTTTTTTCTTCTTTGCATATTGCAGATTTCTTTACCAAGTCGCATTCTATTCTCGTTTTCGTTTTCTAGTTGGCAAACTTTCGATGCTTGTCGCTGCTGCATCGTGAGTTTGAGGGGAGATGTTAAGAAATATAGGGTTATTTTATTTATTAAGGGTAGAATAGTCCTTTACTTTCCCTGATTTGTTTATCTTATATATAATCTCTTTGTATTTAGGTTAAATTAATTCCTAATATTTAATTGAATTATGCAGTATCAATAAAACCCTAGCCTCCTCTTTTCTTATCTCTTGTATTTCTTTAGATTGTTCAACACTTACCACCATTTCTTGAACTAGCATATAAGGTGCAAGTGTGTGTAAGCATTCGTGCTAAGTTCAGAACATAGGTAAAGTGATATAGGAGAAAAAAACTCACAGTTTCATCACCGCAAGTAACGGATCTCAATCGGGATCTTCCAGGAGTAGAGGGAGCCAGGCCATGACTACAATCGGATGAATCCTTTCTCTCCCATGAGGGAGAAGAAACTCCACTGCCTTTACCTCCAACCCTTCCCAAGTGATGTGAGTGTTGTGGTGAGTGTTCAATGCTACGATCAGAACCCCCACTTTGCCGCGTGACTCTCCTAGGGACCCAATTAATAAAACGATCATACTTTCAGAATAAAACTATTATTAACCTAATGCTAAATTAGGATCAATAATGACAAACTAGGATCATGACAAAGATCTTGATTTCTTAATTGGTTAATAACACTTTTATCCCTTAAAAATTGACATTTTGTTAGATTAATATCTAAAATATCAATGTTTTCAATTTTATCTATAAAGTATTCAATTAACATGCAATTCAGAAAATTGGCATCATATTAACCTCCAAATTCATCCAATTAATATTGAACTCATCAAATTAATATTAAATATCATTCAATTCATCAAATTAACATCCAATTCTTCTAATAAATATCCAATTTATCAAATTAACACAAAATTAAAATTTAATTCATCTAATAAATATTCAATTCATTAAATTNCTTACTCGTCATCATCTCAAGCATGACACCATTACTTTGTCCTTTGTTTTTTCTTCTTTGCATATTGCAGATTTCTTTACCAAGTCGCATTCTATTCTCGTTTTCGTTTTCTAGTTGGCAAACTTTCGATGCTTGTCGCTGCTGCATCGTGAGTTTGAGGGGAGATGTTAAGAAATATAGGGTTATTTTATTTATTAAGGGTAGAATAGTCCTTTACTTTCCCTGATTTGTTTATCTTATATATAATCTCTTTGTATTTAGGTTAAATTAATTCCTAATATTTAATTGAATTATGCAGTATCAATAAAACCCTAGCCTCCTCTTTTCTTATCTCTTGTATTTCTTTAGATTGTTCAACACTTACCACCATTTCTTGAACTAGCATATAAGGTGCAAGTGTGTGTAAGCATTCGTGCTAAGTTCAGAACATAGGTAAAGTGATATAGGAGAAAAAAACTCACAGTTTCATCACCGCAAGTAACGGATCTCAATCGGGATCTTCCAGGAGTAGAGGGAGCCAGGCCATGACTACAATCGGATGAATCCTTTCTCTCCCATGAGGGAGAAGAAACTCCACTGCCTTTACCTCCAACCCTTCCCAAGTGATGTGAGTGTTGTGGTGAGTGTTCAATGCTACGATCAGAACCCCCACTTTGCCGCGTGACTCTCCTAGGGACCCAATTAATAAAACGATCATACTTTCAGAATAAAACTATTATTAACCTAATGCTAAATTAGGATCAATAATGACAAACTAGGATCATGACAAAGATCTTGATTTCTTAATTGGTTAATAACACTTTTATCCCTTAAAAATTGACATTTTGTTAGATTAATATCTAAAATATCAATGTTTTCAATTTTATCTATAAAGTATTCAATTAACATGCAATTCAAAAAATTGGCATCATATTAACCTCCAAATTCATCCAATTAATATTGAACTCATCAAATTAATATTAAATATCATTCAATTCATCAAATTAACATCCAATTCTTCTAATAAATATCCAATTTATCAAATTAACACAAAATTAAAATTTAATTCATCTAATAAATATTCAATTCATTAAATTAACTTTAAAATTCAATTAGTTAATATTAAATTCATCAAATTAATATTTAATTTTATCCGATTAACACTTAATTCATCAAATTAACGTCAAATTACTATTCACTTCATCTACTTTATCTTCAAATTCATTCAATTAAAACTAAATTCATCAAATTAATATCCTAATAAATTTTTAATTTATCAAATTAATATCAATACGTAAATTCATCCAATTAATATTCAATTAATCAAATTAATATTCAATTTCATGCTAATAGACTTAAAATTCATAAAAAAATTAAAATTTAATCATCTCAAATATGATTACCAAAAAATATCGTCTCAAATATGGGGAGGTTGGTTTTCATCCCCTTACCAGCGGGTGTTTGGTCCAATAGTATTTCTTACCTTGTAAAGACTTTATCTTCTTGATGTCAAGAGTTCAAGTCTCTCTTCCCCTCTCCCTCCCCCCTAAATTTCATCCCCTCTCTCTCTCTACCCCTGGGGCCATTGAGACCAAGGATCAAAATTTTGTTTCAGTATCCAATTTCGATAAAGCTTAGAAATAGAAACAAGATGAAAACAAAAAAAAAGTTAAAATTTATTTTCAAAACATTGATCGAAACATACCAAAATATTTTCGAAACATATGTGGAAACATGGCTAAACACTTTGAAACATCTCGAAATATAAGAATTTTGATATTTAATCAATTATTCGTTTCGATCGCCATGGAAAAGGAAACATTTTGGACGCTTCGATACAAAATATAGTTCCTTGGTTGAGGCTACCTCTCCCATTTCTCTACTCCACCATGATTTTCTTTGTTTCCATTTCTCAGAGCAAATTACACTTTGACTCCCTCTATTTCTTTATTTTTCACATTATACTTTCAACTACGGGTATTACTTTACAATATCTCGATGGTTCGTTAATCATTTTGTCCTACTAGAGCTAATGTGATAAATTAGCCCCCCCCCCCCCCCCCCCCAAAAAAAAAAAAAAGCTACAACCACCAGGAAGAAGTGGGATTGGCCACATAAAATTATGAGCAATATTATTGGGACCTAATTTACTGACATAATTTACTAATTTAATTTACTGTGACATTTGGATTCAGTGTAGACCCCATCAAACATTGAAACTTAGTGTTAATCCAATGATTTTTATGAAGTCACATCATTATGGCAATAAATTATATCAAATTTTTAGGTCCAAATAGTATTACTCTTTTCTAAAACTTCAAGGGGCAATGCAAATGTATGCAGATAGCTACATATTTGAGTCTTCTCCCCTTTTATTATGTACAAAGAAAACTAAAGTTGGGTGGGATGGTGGATGGGTGGGGAGAGAGAGAGAGATCCATGATCGTTTAGCAAAAAAAGAACCACCACCAAGAAGAAGTGGGATTGACCCTTGGCATGGGAACCATCCCAACCTGAAAATAGTCAGAGATAGGAGTCTCCTGCTTTTTTTGTGATTAATGTGTATATAAACATAAAAATGAATGCCCAAAGACAAAATTTGAAAGAAAAGAAAACAACAAACAAAATACTAACTTAAAACCACAGTCTAATATTTGTGATTATATTTGTAAGCTAATGCTTCCATTATTTGAAATAATTACAATCTCTTTCTCTATCTCTCTGTGATGGTCGTGGCATAAAAGAAGTCAAAAACCCTCATTTTCAAGGACCAATCCAGGGTTGTCTAGCAAGAAGATGGGACAACATGTATCTCCAAAGGTAGATGTAAGTTATTTGTTTCCTATCTACATCATGAATTTCGAGCTTCATACTACACAACTCAAGGGTTGGGCAAGTTAATAAGTCAATTCAGACTCAACCCAAAATTTTAAACTCTTAACTAAGGTTAGTCTGAAAGCTGAAATGAACCCGAAACTTTTCAACTCGAGTACCACCTTTGTTTAAAGTTTTGAAATCAGGGTTAGTTTTAGTTGGGGTGCATCATAAATGGGGTTAGTTGCAATTTATACTCCAAAATATTATAAAAATTTTATTTTGTACTCATGAGCTCAGATCTAACTGAGTCAGGTCAAATTAGTGGGTTAGTCCCAAATCAGTTAAAAGACAGGTCAAATCCAACTCATGGATTAAGTCCAATCCAGAGTTCAAAAATTCTAGGATTAGAACAAGTGGAGAGTAATTACCGAGATAGTCACTCTCAAATATCAAGACTATCTCTACTTGTACCTATCGTAGCAATTCTCCCCGAGAAACTAATAACCTACCCTTCATGACCATTGCCGCAACTAAGACTCTGTGCCTATAAATTGTAAACCCTCTACACATGAGGGACACTTTTTACAGAGCTATCTCTCTCATAGTTATCTAGAGTTTACCGTTGCTCTCTCTCACATCTTCTACTTTATTAATAAAGTTCTCTGACCACTGTCGTTGCCTTCGAAAGTAGAGTAGATCACCCTGACTGAACTACTCTACATCTGTGTTGTTGTTGTTGATCTCATCTTTATATTTACTGCATTTA